CTTTTTGTTTCATTTTGACTAGAAAACCCATTTTCGAAAATACACCTCAGAACCATAAGCAAATAGCCCAGAGTCTTAAATGCTCTAAAGGCTCTGGATGAGCCCCTGCCAGGCACACTGAACCAGTGCTGGAGGTTTTGGCGTGGGTTTTTCCTACTTGGTTTTTTGTCCAAAGCTAATTTGGATAAAAATAGTTTGACTGGCAGTTGTGAGCTGTTTTTCAGTATATTAGGACCTCACCAGCTTTCCATGGTAGTAAACTTTTTTTAAAAAAAGAAAGTCTTTTAAAATATTCTCACATTATTTTTTTAATTTATCCTTTTAATTTTGGAAAGCAAGGGTGAGAAAGGCTATATGATCTGGAGGTAAAAATACACCACTGTATAGAGTTGAAGTGTTATCTCCTGAACCCGCATTGCACGTCTACAAAGGAGAAGAACTTGTCCTTCTCCAAGTGTTTAGTATTCCTTAGATTAGTGTTTTTCAAACAAGCCTGATGGGAAGACGCATTTGGGACTTTTGTTTAAAATGCATCCCCCCTACCTCTGAAAGTTTAATTTGGTAAGCTTGATTTCCAGAATCTGGATTTCTATTTTTTTATTATTTAATTTCATTTTATGTTCTGGGATACTTGTGCAGGTTTGTTACATACATAAACGTGTGCCATGGTGGTTTGCTGCACCTATCAGCCCATCAATCCTTACATTTTAATATTTTGAAGTAGTAGGTTGGTTATCAATGGAGTTAAGCCACTCCATTTTATATTTCATTCAAGTCAGAAAATAGATAAGCAGATATAGGATATTGACACCTGCATTTGAAGCAAAGTAAATGTGACATGTACGTCTTACTGTATGGAACTTGAAGTACAAATCATGTTTACACTGTTGAATCATGCACACCTATCTATCTGTTGAGTCATTTGTTCCTTATGATATTCTTAAAATGTATTCATTTAACAGATATCTGCTGTTAAATCTTTTGTCTTTAATCCCCCTAGACCACACATCCCATTCTAGGTCCCACTCTACTACTTTGCTTCTTTTTATAACAAACAAACAAAAATCGTCTTTGAAAGATTTACCTCTAAGTCTCCATTTTCATTTCCCCTGTTTCTTCCTACCCCCTCTCATCTGAGGCTTTTTGTCCCCATTACCCCCTACATGGACCTGACATTGCCAATGGCTGTCTTGTGAAATCCCGTATCTGTGCACAGTTCTTATCTTTCCTGACCCCTCAGTAGCATTTGATCACTCCCTCCTCCTTAATATTCTTTCTTCTTCACTAATGTTCTGCACTAATATTCTTTTTTCTTCACTTGGCTTCCAGGTCACCACATTCTCCTGCATTTCATTCTGCTTCTTTGTGTCTCCAGGCTTCCCCACCACTAAATCTTAGTATGCCACAAAATTCATTTCTTGGCCATATTTTTCTAGCCATACTTTCTCCCAGGACAATTTCTATCCCAAGGCATATTCCTTGGCTATAAATAACATCTATCAGCTAATGACTTCCAAAATTTTATTTCTAGCTTTACTGCTCTTCTGAGCTCCAGATGTGTATGTCCAGCTGGTTACTCAGCATTTCCATTTGGAAGTCTGATAGGCATTTAAATTTAGTATGGACAGACAGAACTACTGATGCCACACTCACCAAGTTCTCCCTCTGTTTCCCCTCAGCTCCCTCCCCTTATCTCAATAAACAGCCTCAGTTACTGCCATTCAAGTAGACCGGAATTCTAGGAAATTACTCTTGACTTCTCTTTTTAGGTCAGACCCCGCATCCAAGCATCCAGCAAATTCTGTTCACTCTGTCTTGAAACAAAAGATCCAAATCTGCCCACCTCTCCCTCTCTCTGTAAGCTAAGCCACAGTCCTACCTACATGATTGAGAAGTCTCTGCCTCTGCCCTTCCTCCTCTATAGTCTTTTCCAAACAGCAGTGATTTTTGTCATACATACTCAGAACTTTCATTTCCCTTCAAAACCTTCTCATCAGAATCACAAAAAGCAACAACAAAGAAACACAAATAAAACACACACACACACACACACACACACAAAAACAAACAAACAAAAAAAAAAACAGACTTACAATGGCTTTAAAGCCCTGTATGATCTAGTCCCTGACTACTTCTCTGAACTCATCTTCTGATTTCCCTCTCACCCACTCCACTGTAGTAACACTGATTGTGCTGCTGTTGCCTTTGCCTGCAGCGGGTCTCTGCTAGACCATTGCACACTGTACTCCCTCACTTCTCTGTTAGCATGCTACCTCAAAGGTTACTGTGCTATTGCAGCAAGATCTGTTTTGCTGCTGGACTTGTGCGGTAGGTTGTTATTAAATACTGAATGCTACTCTCTAGTATTCCATGAAGCTTATGGCACCTTTAAAACATTGTTGGTTGCTTGAGTTCTCTAATATTAAAAAAGCACAACCATTTTTCTTTTTAGCCTAATTTTGATAAGATAGACAGTTTGCCTTTAAATTCTGTGTTTTTATAAAATCTCTTCCCGATTTGGAGATTTGCCCTTTAACATCAGTTTTTATTTTTAGATGCAGAAAATGGAAGAAAAATATCCAGTTCACTAAAAGGAATATTTGGTGGGGGCCAGTTACCCCCTTACCCCCACCAGTAGGGGCAATGGGAAATAGGAAGCAATAATCTAACATTTGGAGACTCTTTGAATGGTACCAGCAACAGGTAGTTTATGGGAAGAAGAAAAATAAAGACTCTTGTTCAGAGAAGAATATACAAGTTTCTAAGTTCTGCAGTGACTAAACCAATATCAGAGTTGTCAAGATTTTATAAGATATTATATACATTCAACTCTTTTTTTTTTTTTTTTGAGACAAGGTCTTGCTGTGTTGCCCAGGCAGGCCTTAAACTCATGGGCTCAAGCAATCTTCCCACCTCAACCTTCCAAATAGCTGGGACTAGAGGCACATACCACTGCACCTGGCTCCAGTTCTCTCTTGAGGACTATGTAGAAATGAAAAACAATATTTTCATCTTTATGAAGAGGTGTAGCAACTAAAAGATTGTTTAATTTATAATCCTTATTTCTCATTTTAATCCCTAGGAACTGGTTCTGTTATCAGTAGCACAGGTACTATTGCCCCTTCTTTTAAAGGAAAAGAAGAAAATTCCTTCTCATTTTAGAATTAGGATTTAAGATACTTAAATAAATATTTCCAAAATGAGATTAAATAAAATAAGTAGATTTGGAATATGGAACAAAGAGAAGAGTAGGAGGGTTAAGCGGAAGCTAGGAGTGAAGTTATTAATAGCATCAAAACACCTGCCATAAGCTTCTGTCTGTTGGCCAGAGCGCTCATTAATCTGGAGCTTCCTAGCAACTGAGTGAAGAGATAGGGTCCACAAGATGAAAAAGCAGTGCCCAGGTAAAGATCAGATAGAAGCATTTTTTAAACATTGACTTGCTCAAGGACCTGTTTTAGATACTATGAAGATGAATGTTCTGTCTTCTGGTACTTAAGAAGAGTATTGGAGAAGCCCTATTTGGTTTAGAGTTAGCAAACCCAAGCTCTTGGAATATTTGCATATGAATAAAAAACAGATGAAATAGAGCTACACCTGGAGATAGGCCAAACTCATTTGGAATGTACAGATAGAGCTTGTAAGGAAGACACTTACCAAAGGCGTTGGAAAAGATATATATGTATAAGGAAGTTACTATTTAGATGGAAATCAGGTCGACATAATTGACATAATTGTTGACAATTACTGACATAATTGATATTTATAAAAATATAAAGCCTAGAAAATGAATTTTTATTTACTAAAAAACTATTTTTTCAGATTGTATGATCATCGTTTGAAAAAGTGAACATGTATGTGTCTATATACGTACATGTGAAGAACATATGTGA